GGCAGCGAACAAGCACGAAGCCGCAGGGCCACGGTTTCGTACTTGAGCCAAAATGGCTACGGGGGAGGAGGAGGAGGTGGAGGAAGAGGAGGAGGAGGAGGAGGAGGAGGAAGAGGAGGAGGAGGAGGAAGAGGAGGAGGAGGAGGAGGAGGAGAAAGAGGAGGAGAAGGAGGAGGATGATCGCCGCAGGTGACCGAAACAGGCGGGGCGCCGCCAGGTGGGCGCTGCCATTTGGGTATTCGGTGGAGCCGCCTACGGGGCGGCTAAGCACGTGAGGGGCCTGCCGACGCCGAAGCTGCGGCGCCATGCAGACGCTGCCGATTGGGCTTGCGGTGGAGTTTCACACGCGGCCAGAACATGTGAGGGGTGTAGCACAAGTGGGCGGCGGCGACGTTCGGGCGCTCCCTTTGGGGTTACGAAGCCTGTGCGGTTGGAACCACAATCGGGCGGCGGCGCCATAAGGGCCCTTCCATGTGGACCCTGGGTGGAGCTCCATATGTGCTGACGAAGCGTGCGAGCGGTGCGCCACAGTCGGGCGGCGACGCACTGCGGGCGCTGTCGCTTTGGCCTTCGGTGGAGCTCCCTATGGGGCGACGAAGCGTGCGAAGGGTCCGTGTGTGTGAAAATGGGGCGGCGGCGCCATGCAGGCAGTGCCGCTTGGGCCTTCGGTGTGTGCGTGTGTGTATGTCTGTGTGTTTCGTCTATGGTGTCGCGATGCGCGCGGGGAGCGTGCCACGATGGGGCGGCGGTGCCATGTGGCTGCTGCTGCTGCTTAGGCCATCGGCGGGGTTGCCTATGATGCGTGCGAGGGGCGTGTGCCACAGTTGGGGTGCGCCGCGCGGCGGGCGCTGCTGTCTGGGGCGTCGCTGCAGCTCCCTGTGGGGCCACAGCGCGTGGCAAGTCGGGGTGCGGCGGGATGCGCGTGCGGAGGGCAGGGGCACGGGTGGGAAGAGGGAGGAGGGGGAGGAGGGGGAGGAAGGAGACGCGGGGCGTTGTCAGGATGGTCTGGACCGATACATGTCGGATGCCCTCGAGGCTGCGACTCCTGACGCTTCTCCCGGCGGCGGGCCCAGGGCGGCTGCCGCAGGGCAGGTGGGAAGAAGGGGCCTCCGTGTGAGGCAACGAAGCCCGTGCGAGGAGTGAGACGGGCAGGGCGCCGCCTGGCGAGCGCTGCTACGTGGGATTTTGGTTGGGCCCCCATACGCGATTCCAGAACGCGTGATGGGCGTGCCGGAATCGACGCGGCGGAGCCATGTGGGCGTTGCCGCCGGGGGAGGGGGAGGCGGAGGGGGAGGGGGAGGGAGAGGGGGAGGAGGAGGAGGGGGAGGGAGAGGGGGATGGGGAGGGGGAGGGGGAGGGGGGGCGGCGCCACGCGGGCGCTGCTACTTTGGGACCTTCGGTGTGGCTCCCCATAGGGGCCACGAGGCGGGCGAGGGGTGAGCCAGCCAGGGGCGGCGGCGGCAATGCGGGTGCTGCCGCTCGGGCCGTCGGTGGAGCTCTCCTTGCAGGGCCACGAAGCGTGTGCGGGGTGTGCCACCATGGGGCGGCGGCGCCATGCTGGCGCTCCCTATGGGGCTGCGATTAAGTCGGGCCCGTCCCTCGACAGGAGGAATGTCCAAAAATAGCCAAACAATAGTCTGGGGATTATTTTTCGACACTTTTTTGACCATTTGGGAGTATTTTTGTTATTTGTCGCCGAAAATCCCCTGTAGGGAGACACGCCCGTGAGGGGTGTGCCAAAATCGGGCGGCGGAGCCATGCGAGCGCTGCCGCTTGGGCCTCCGATGGAGCTTCCTACGTAGCCATGAAGCGTGTGAGGGGTGTGGCAAAGTGGGGCGGCGGCGCCATGCGGCTGTTGCCATGTGGGCCTTCGGTGGGGCTCCTTATGGGCCCATGATGCGTGTGAGGGGTGTGCCAAAGTGGGGCGGCGGCGACATGCTGGTGTTGTCATTTGGGCCTTCGGGTGGGCCCTACTGAACCAGACATGTGCGAAAAGGTGTGTCGCAAAGGGGCGGCGGCGCCATGCGGGCGGAGCAGCTTGCGCCTTCGGTGGGAAGCGTGTGAGGTGTGTGCCACGATGGGGCGGCGGCGCCATGCGGGCGTTTCCGCTTAGGCTTTCAGTGGAGCTCCCTGAGGGACCACGTTGCGTGTGAGGGGTGTGCCAAAATTGAGCGGCACCGCCTGGCGGGCCCTGCCGTCTGGGCCCTCGGCGTAGCTCCCTATGGGGCCACGAAGCGTGGTAGGGGTGCGGCGGGCAGGGGCACGGATGGGAGGAGGGAGGAGAGGAGAAGAGGAAGGAGACACGAGGAGAGGAAAAAGACACGCGGCGCTGTGTGTTCAAAGCGGAGACCCAGCACCACAGGATGGTTTGGACAAATACATCTCGGATGCCCTCGAGGCTGCGACTTCCATACTCATCCTAGCGAAGCTCCTAACCATAGGCAGATGTGGCTGCCGCAGGGCAGGTAAGAAGAAGGGGCTCCCTATGGGGCAACGAAGCGTGCGAGGAGTGAAACGGGCAGGGCGCCGCCTGGCGGGCGCTGCCACTTGGGATTCTGGTGGGGCACCCATACGGGGTTGCGGAACGCGTGGGGTGCTTACCGAAACTGAAGCGGCGGCGCCATGCGGACGCTGCCGCGGGGGCCTTCTTGTGGAGCTCCCCACGGAGCCAGGAAAGGTGTCAGGGGTGGGCCAGAATTGTTCAGCGGCGCCGTGCGGGCGCTCCATCTTGGGCCTTCGGTGGGGCTCCCTATGGGGCCACCCAGCGTGTGAGGGGTGTGCCAAGAGGGGGCGGCGGCGCCATGCGGGCGTTGCCATGTGGGCCTTCGGTGGGGCTCCCCATGGGGCCACGAAGCGCTTGAGGGGTGTGCCAAAAGGGGGCGTCGGCGCCATGCGGGCGTTTCCGCTCGGGCCTTCGGAGGAACTCCTTGTGGGGCCACGGATCGTGTGAGGGGTGTGCCTGAACGGGGCGTCGGCGCCATGCGGGCGGTGCCATGTCGGCCGTCGGTGGAGCTCCTTCTGCGGTCCACGAAGCGTGTGCGGGGTGTGTCGAAATAAGGCGGCGGCGCCTGGCGGGCTCCGCCGCTCGGGCCGCCGGTGGAGCTCCTGACAGGGCCACGAAGTGTGTTAGAGATGTGCCAACACGCGGCGGCGGCGGCACCCTGCGTGCGCTGGCATGCGGGCCTTCGGTGGAGTCCCCGAGTTCCCTGTGGGGCCACGAAGCGCGTGAGGGGTGTGCCGACATGCCCATGCGGAGGGCACAGGGACGGGAGTGGGAGCAGCGGGAGGAGGGGAAGGAAGAGGAGGAGGAGGAGGAGGAGGAGAGGAGAGGAGACGCGGGGCGTTGTCTTTTCAAAGCGAGGACCCCACACCACAGGACAGTTTGGGAAAAGCACGCGATCCGCGTCCTCGGGGCTACGATCTCTAGTAAAGAGCATGTGGGTCATCGCTCTCGAGGCCGCAATCGCTCGCGCAAGCCATGGGGCACGCAATGCCGAGAACGCGATCCAATGGAAGAGCGCAACCAAGGAGGCATCTGAGCGCATGCGAGTCTGTCGAGCCCACCGATAGCGCCTGGTATGATTGCCCGGGAGCGCTTGGGGAACGTAGGGGGGGGAACACCTGCGATCGCTTCGGGGCACCTGAATGACACTCGGACTTACCGAGAACGCCTGGGATCGTTTGGGCGCGCTTCACAGCGCCTGGGGGAGGCCTATGAAGCGACTGTGAAGCCGTGCGGTCGAACTGCGATTGAAGCGGGTCTCGGACCCAGACTGTCACGCAGTTAATGACGCGATTTCCGCGCCAGCACTAGGAAGTAGGGACCTGGGGGCGCCTCGGAGAGCTGGGGGACCTCTTTGCCAGCAGTTCCCCTTCAGATGCCGTGTTGGGAGCCTCTCTTGACTGTCCTGGTGCCCTCTTGGAGCGCTTCAGGGCCGCCTCGGGGCCCTCTTGGGGGGCTCTTGGGCGATCTCGGGGTCTTTGGGGGCCGGCTAGGAGCCTTCTTGGGGACCTCGTGGGCTTTCCTGGGGGTCCGGATCGGAGGTCTCTCGGGTCATCTTGGGCGGTCATGAGCTCTCGGGCTCTCCTGCATCATGCAGGAGAGCCGGACAGTTGATGGGCCCAAGAGGGCTCAAGAGAGTTCCCGAGGGCTCAAGATGCATCATCATCATGGGCCCAAGAGGGCTCCAAGAGGCCATTGACCTCTTGGAGCCCTCTGTGGCCCTCTTGGGGGCCTCGTGTGCCGTCTTGAGAGCCTCTCGTGCAACAGTGGGCCGTACTGGGCTGTTTCGGTGTCGCCGTCGCTGTCCTGGAGGCCGTCTTGGAGGCCACCTTGGCCGCCTGGCGGCCGAGCGGAGCGCCCGGGTGGAGCACATTCAAGGGGGGCGCTCTCAGGGCGACGCGCGGGAAGGGGGGGCCTAGAGAAAAGAAACAGCATTCCTCCCAGTCAACAGACGAGCAATGTAGCACGCCGGCTCCGTGCAGGCACGGTGACGGATCGATCTGTCTCTCCCCCATACGTACACCGTACACAGATGCAAGGTTTGTGTTTCCAAGCGTGCCGGTCTACATGACATCGAGCGTCCGCTGCGATGGGGGGCGGGGGGACCCGGAACAGCAGTCAACGGTACAGCGCGGAGCGATTTTGCACGTGCGGTGCGATACGTTGCGGGACGAAGGTCGTTGACATGCCAGTAGTAACGACGAGCACAATCATAATGTCCAACAGCGCTGGATGCCAATATCAATGTCTCTGAGCGCTGAGATCAATGTCACCATTATTGCCAGTCGTAGCATCAGTGCATCATCACTCGGCACATATGCGCGAGTATGCTCATGCGCAAGGTCACGAGCACGCTTCTTAGTCACGCCATTGATGTCATGCGTGCGCGCACATGCTGAGCACGTCTTGCGATATGTGTCACAGTGAGCTATCGCTGATCGACTGGGCTTCCAATCCAGTTTGTATTCATATGCGTTGTTCTCGTTTGGGCACCAAGGCGCTCAGAAGTTCCTGCGAGAAGTGGGACCTTGAGCCGAAGAAGGAACGCGCGCTGACTCAGTCGTCCATCCGTTCCTCCTCCTCCTCCTCGTCCCGACCTGTCCCAGAGCGCGTTCTGACAGGGATTGTTTGGCGAATCCAGACTTGACGACAAGGCTTTCGTGACTTTACTCTTCGTGCTGCCTTCCCCTTCATCCCAAGGGTTCCCTTCTGAGCCCATTCGGCGTTCGAGCCCTTTCAGCAGCCGAGCGGATTCAAGACCAAGCCCAGTCGGCGGCCAAGCGGCTTCCATTCCGACGGCCATGCCGGAACTGAGCCCGTTCGGTTGCACAGTCGGCGGCCGCACCGGCCCAAACGCCAGACGGTCTCAAAAGGGTTGTTTGAGGGCATCCTTCCTGCCATCCCTTCTCTTCCGCCCGCTTGCCCCTCCTCCATATCGGGGTCGGAAAAGAGGGGGGTGATGACCAGGGGGGGGTGGATATCATGGTGGGGGCCATGATATTTCCCCAGATTTCATGGCGCCTCTTCTTATTTCAATACGTCCCTGGCCCCCCCGCTGGGCCGCGCACACGCCGCTGGTCATGATTTGCACCCCCCCCTCTTGGACACCTCCCTCTTGGCCCCTCCTCCATCCCACGTAGCTCACTTGCCCCCCTGTCCCCCCTCACTGGGCGCACTCGGGCGATCCGGGGCTGCGCCCTGGCTTGCAGGTACCTTCGGGCGGTCCAGGAAAGCCTCCCGGCAGACACCTCCAGGCCCTCCGAGGAAGCGCCCTGGCAGGTACCTTCGGGCGTTCCGAGGCAGCGTCCAGGCAGGTACCTTCGGGCGTTCCAAAGAGGCGCCCTGGGCACCTTGTACCTGCCAGGACGATTGCTTGGAGCGCCGCCTGGAGGTGCCCCCCCGCCTCCCCGCCCCGTTTTCGCCTCCCGCCCCCCCGCCGGCCGCGCGAGGACCTGGAGCTCACCCGGCCGCAGCTGCGGTCGCTCTTCCGCGTCGAGGTCCGCGCTCCCAGCGGCCTACCCAGAGCCCCCCCGTTGGCTGTAAGTGTGTGTGTATGTGTGTGTATGTGTGTGTGTGTGTGAGTGTGTGTGTGTGTGCGCATGTGTTTCTTCAAACGTCAGGTGAGGGAGCCGGGGCCCCCGAAATCGTTGGACCGTCGTGCCCCCCCCTTGTTTGCCCCTCATCGTTGGTCCCCATCAAGAGCTGTGTCAAGCTGTTTTGGGCATTCTGCTGCAAGGGTCTCACCTTTCAAAACATCGCTTCCAAGGGTCTGAAGTTCGGGGCGGGAGAGAAGGAGGGAGAAGGAGGAGGGATTCACAGCTCCAGTGTCGCGGTTTGCCGCCAATCGTGGACCTCTGGAGATCGCGACCCCATCCCCAGGGCCGGCTGTTCATTGACGTCCCCGGGGTCTGGCAAGGTCCTCCGAAGGCCAGAGTGCCCCCAAACCCGCCGTCGTATTTCTGTTATCGTGGATCGAGGTGATCTGGGCATGAGAGGAAGAACAAGAAGGTTGTGGAGGATCGGATAACCCGCCTGCTTTGTCCCCGCGACGCTGGACCGCCCCCCTCCGCTTTCGGGAGGGGGGGGGGCCCGCGTCGCCGCGCCGTGGGCGTGGGCCCGGCCCACAGTCGAGTGGCCGACGGGGTGGCGCCAGTCAGGGCGCCGACGTCGAGCCAGCACGAGGGGCGTTCCAGCCTCGCCTTCGAAGGGTCGAAGAGAGCGAGGCCACCGGGCGAAGAGTCGAAGGGTTGAAGAGGGCGTTCCAGCCTTGCCCTCGAAGGGGTCGCAGAGAGCGAGGCCACCGGGCGCTGCGACGGGGCGCTGCTGCTCCTGACGCCTGCAGACCATCGGCGTTGCAACGTAGCGCCCGGCCGCGGCCACGGTGCACGTCTGCCTTCTGCTGTGGGCGGAGGCGTCGCCCGCGTCGGGGGCGTGAGCTGGAGGCCGCGTGGGAACGAACGAAGACTTGCCATCTCTTTCTCGGACCGGCGGGGTGAAGTGCGGACCTCCTAGAGTCGCACTGGCTATTGGCTTCGACGATGTCCTGAACAGGCCATGAAGAACAGGGGCGTGGAGAAAGGATGCCTTTGAGTTGTGCTGCCTTTATGGAGCTCCCGGGGCTCGTTTCCCAGCCCTGGGGCAGTCGGACAATCACTCAGGAGGAAATCTGCTCGCGGGAGTAGCCCCGGGGTCTAGGCCACGGTTGGAGCAGGAGTGTGTAGCGATTTGGGCCCAAGGAACACGGGGCTTTCCCAGGAGCCATACCTTGAAGTGAGAGGTAGTAATACAAGGATATGGTCCGCATTTGGGCCCCGTCTGGGTCTTGTCCGAAATTGGCCTCAGCTCTTCGCTTTCATACCCGTTGGATTGTTGCTCGTTGTCTTCCGTGGCCGCGTGGAGCTCCTTGAAACCTATCAGGGCTCCGCGTAACATCGCCCAGTGTGTACAGCCTCATATCCACGAAATGTGCGATCGATGCTACGTCTCATTTGGCATCAGAAACTAGCGGGCTGCGTCAAGGCAGGAAATGACAGTAATTGCTCTGCGCGTCCGAAGCCTCGTTTGACACGTCTCACCAGCACCGCCAATTTCGATGCAGCAGTGCGATGTAGCAGTCAGTTGGTGCGTCCGCTGCTTAGCGGATCTGGCCTCGTTTCCGAAACCTTTGCGCGTGTTGATGCCGCGCGCACGGCCCACCGTTTGCTGAAGGTTTGTCTCTGCGCGGCAAGGGCCGCCGTACTTTCCAGCTCGGTTCGCGCACGGGCAGCTGACACGAGTGTTGAGAGAGGTCCGAGCCCGTGCTTTGGCACTCTTCCTTGGCTTGGTTTTCCTCTGGGCTTCCCAAATGTGTGCAAACGTGCCGGTGTTGGTTTCACCCCCGTGACATTCGAGCCGCAGTCATGGTCCAGTCCAGTCCTTGGTCCTCCGCCCACCACCCGCCAGGCCCCGATGTTCGGCGCGACGAACTTGTCACGATGTGGACCCCAAGAGGTCTTGACCCGTTCATGGGCACCAGTTCTTCACCATGCATCGTTTTTTGGCGACTCTGGGCCCAGCACGGGCCCCCCGAGGCCGAACATAGCAAAATTACGCTACTGAGAAACGCCACATGCTCATTTTACTCTGTGTGTGCTCATGACCTGTGTCGCTTGCTGCTTTCCCGAACGTTCAAGCGTAGTGCCATCCATCTTGACATCCTCTACGGAAGATCTCGACGTGTGCAGCGCAGCATTACGTGAGCCCCTATTCATCCTCTCCTCCTCCCTTTTCAATGTTTCTCCCTTCCACTCCGCCCTGGCTATATTCATTCCTGCACTGCGCTTCTTCGGCGATAGCGCGGCGGTTCGAAGCCCTTCGACATGAAGTCCACTGTTTGCGAGCTCGCGACGGCCACGACACCTGCGCCTTGCACACCATGTGCTGTGTAGAGAAACTGCCACGACGGCCACATGTTGCGAGCCTGCGACGGGTACGGCGCCCACCCCCTTTTGCACACGTCTTGTAGTGCCGACGGAATGCCAGCCTGCCAGGCCGCGCGTTGAGTTACCACCCCCTGTGCACCCCATCTCGTGTCGAGGAAGTGCCACGCCTGCTGGCGCTGAGACATTGGCGCGTATGGAAACCGCGGTGAGGGACCACCCCCTGCGCACCCCCTCTGGTGTCGAGGAAAGAATTACGATTGCTAGGGCCTGCGACATTGGCGCGCATAGAGACCGCGGTGGGCCCCCCCCCCCCCGTTGCGCCCCCCTCCCTACGTATGCTGTCAAGAAAGTGCATTTCCCGTTAGGCCCTGCGGCATTGGCGCGTCTCGAGACCGCGCTTAGGGACCACCCCGTGCGCACCCTTGTTGGTGTCGAGATGCTACGCCTGCCGCGCCTTGCGACCCTGGCGTGGATAGTACCGGCGCTCATGGACCATCCCTTGCGCACCCCCTTTAGTGCTGAGGATGTGCTACGCCTGCCAGTCTTGCCGACCATGGCGCGCATAGAGGCCGCGCAGAGGAAGCACCCTGCTGGTGTCGAGGGAAATGCCGCGCCTGCCAAACCCTGCGACCCTGGCGTGGATAGGGGCTGCGCTCAGGGACCACTCCTAGTGCACCCTTCCCTGGTGCCGAGGAAATGACACGCCTGTCAGGCATCCCGATCCTGGCACGCATGGAGGCCACGCTGTGGGTACTTCCTGCGCACCCCTCCTGGTGTTGAGAAAGTGTAACGCTTGCCACGGGTTTCGAATCCTACGCGCATAGATTGTGCGCTTGTGCTTGCTGTGTGAGCGGCTGTACGTTGACATGTATCTTACGTGGGTGCCTATTACAGTCAACCCACATAGTAAGGAAAGACCACCTTCCCAAGGGTGCCATTGCATCCTTGCCCCTTCGCCCCCAGCTTTGGCCACTTTCGCTAGCCAACCTCGTTTGGAAATTGCGTATGTGGCCCTCCAAGGTCCTTGCATCCTTACCGCGCATCTTCATGATACGAGTTGGTTGTATGCAGTGTATGATGCAATCAACAGGCCAGGTCTGAACAAGCACCGTATGTGGTGTGTGCGCGTATGTAGATGAGTGTATGCATGTTGTGTGGTGTGTGCATGTGTTATGTTCATGGGTGCTGCATGTGTGCTGTATGTGTGCTGTATGCAAAGTGTGTGTATGCGTGCGGCGTGCGCGCGTTATTAGCATGCGCGCGCGACTGCATGTTCGTGTGTGTATGATGCGCTCGCGAGTGCAGGTAGGAAGGAGAAGGAACGTGGGAAGATGATGTGTGTGAGAGGTTTGCGGGTGCGACGCGGGAGGGATTTCCGCTACCCAGGAAACCCACATATTTAGTTTAACGTTTCTGTTAGCGCTTCGCATGTACGTTTTCCTTGCGCACCCGCTCTGGCGTCGACAAGATGCCACGCCTTCTCAGTTCTGCGACAGCGTCGTGAACAGACATCGCGCTCAGGGATCACCCCTGCGCACCACCCTCTGGCGTCGAAGAAGCGCCACGCCTCCTGAGCTTTCCGACAGTGTCGTGGATAGACTGTTCAGGGACCACCCTCTGCACACACCGTCTGGCGTCGAGGGTGACACGCGTGCTAGGCCTTGCGACAGTGTCGTGGATAGATACCGCGCTGAAGGACCACCCCCTGCGCAGCCCCCTCTGGTTTCGAGGAAATGGCACGCCTTCCACGCTTCTCGATGTCGGCAAGCATAGAGTCCGCGCCGAGGGACCACCCTTTGCGCAACCCCCGAAGTGTCGACAGAGTGTCACGCCTGCCATGCTTTCCGACCCTGGCACGACCACACCCTGCGCACCCCCCCTGGTGTCGAGAACGTGCCACACGTGCCACGCTTTCCGATTTGGGCACGCATAGGCACAGCGCCGAGGGACCACCCCGTACGCACCCTTTCGAGCGACGACAAGTGCCACGCCTGCCACGCTTTCCGACCCCGGCACGCATAGAGACCGCGCAAAGGGAACACCCCATCCGCTCCCTCTCTAGTGTCGAACGGGTGCCACGCCTGCCACGCTTTCCGACCCTGGCACGCATAGAGACCGCGTCGATGGGACCACTCCCAGCGCACGCATCCCCTCTGGTACCGAGGAAGGGCCACGCCTTCCACGCTTTCCGACCCTGGCACGCACAGAGCCAGCGTCGAGGGATCACCCCCTGCGCACCCCTTCTGGTGTCGAAAAGGTGCCACGCCTTCCACGCTTTTCGATCGCGGCAAGCATAAAGTCAGCGCCGAGGTACCACCCCTTGCGCAACCCCCTCTAGTGTCGACACAGTGCCACCCCTGCCACGCTTTCCGACACTGGCACGCACAATAGCCGCGCTGAGGGACCACATCCTGCGCACCCCCTCGTGGCATCGAGAAAGTGCAAAGCGGGCCACGCTCTCCGACCCTGAGGTACCACCCCGTGCGCACCCTATCCGGTGTTGACAAAGTGCCACGCCTGCCACCCTTTCTGACCCTGGCACGCATACAGGCAGCGCCGAGGGACCACTCCCTGCGCACCAACCCTAGTGCGGAGGAAGTGCCACGCCTGCGTGGCCTGGCGACATTGGCGCGTATAGGGATCGCTGTGAGGGACCACCCCCCGCGCAACCCCTGAGGTGTGTGTGTGTGTGTGACAGTCCGACGCCTGCCTCACTTGCCGACCCTGTCACGCATAGGGCCAGCGCCGAGGGACCATCCCCTCCTCCCAGGGCCAGCGCTGAGGGACCATCCCCTTCGCCCCCCCACTGGTGTCGAGAACGTGCCACGCCTGCCACGCCCTGCGAGCGTGTCACGGATAGAGGCCGCGCTGAGGAACCACCTTCTGCGCAACCCCTGTGGTGTCGCAGAAGTCGAGAAAGTGCCACTCATGCCACGTCCTGCGAGCATGTCACGAATATTGGCCGCGCTGATGGACCACCCCTTGCGCACCCTGTCCGGTGTATCAATGTAAACAAGAAGCCCATGAAACACGGTGGGTGACTCGGTCTGCTTGTGTGTGTGTGTGTTCGTGTGTGTTTGTGTGAGTGTTTGTGTGTGGGGATCATGTGTGAGTGCGGCTGTATGCGTCCGTGTGTCTCATGTAAATGCCGCGTGTGTGTCCTGTGTGTTTAGGTGCTGCATGTCATGTCTGCTGTGTGTGTGTGCTGCGTGCACGGCTGTATGTGGCCGCGTGTCTCATGTCATGCCGTCTCACCGACGGGAGACGCGGGTGCGACGTGGGTGTGAAAGGAGGAGGAGGAGGAAAGGGGAGGAGGTGAGGAGGAGAGGGCGTGTGAGAAACGCGGGTGCGACGTGGGAGGGAGGAAAATCATTATTCCACGAAACATGTGGGAAAGAACACCAGAACCCGATTGAGCGTGTGGAGGATAACTCCATCCGCTGCCCCGCCTGCCGCCAGCCAGGGCAGTCCCGCCCGCGCGCCCGTTGGGGCCAAGGTCGCGGCGGGACTCGAGGATCCGGACGAGACCTTCGACGGAAAGAGGGACCTCATCGACTCCGCCCGCGACAGCTGGGGCCTGGGCGACCAGGAGGCCGAGGATCGCACGCCACGAATTCAGGGAGAGAGAGAGAGAGAGAGAGAGATTGAGAGAGAGAGAGAGAAACAAAAAAAAGAGAGAGAGAGAGAGAGAGAGGAGGGAGAGGTCCGACTGGCCCGCCGAAAACCACCCGGGGGGGGCCTTGAGAGGATTTTTGTTTGCGTCCACGGTGCGGCCTTGACTTGAGCCAACCGCCCCGTGGGCCAGCGACAGGGCTCCCCCCCCCCAAGAACCAAGAGTTTGCCACCCAGAGCAAGGACGGGCAGGCCGGGAGGCCGGGGAGACGCACAGCCGAGGAGGAGGAAGAGGTGGTGCGTTGTGCTCTCGCCTCGGGTCCCGAGCCAGGGGGTCTCCAGAGGCCTCGTCCTCCATTTCCTTCTTCTCCTCCTTGTTTCTCCTCCTCCTCCTCCTCTTCCTCCTTCTCCTCCTCCTCCTCCTCCTCCTCCTCCTCCTCCTCCTCCTCCTCCTCCTCCTCCTCCTCCTCCTCCTCCTCCTCCTCCTCCTCCCCCCCCTCCCCCTCCCCCTCCCCCTCCCACTGGAGCCTGTTTTTTGAGGGCTCTGGCAAGTTCGGGTCACGACAGAATCACGACGCAGGGATATTCCCAGGCCTCTAGGCTGTTCGGGGCCCTTACAGGGCCCTGGGGCCGTCAAAGAATAACTCGGGATCAAAAACACGTCCCGGGAGAAAGGAGTCCAGGGCCGTGGGCAACACGCAGGGTGCTCCAGGGAGGGGCTCGCATTCGAGGCACCGAGGTTTTGACACCGTTCTCTCGGCCGGAGGCCCGCGGAAGGCCTTCGCATGGCGGCGGAGGTACAGATCGACCCTCCGGGGGGTGGCACTTATCTGGGACTCAGGCGGGGGGCGACGCAGGCGCCGGTCGTCGCGGAAGAGGGGCGGCAGAGGGGAACTTGTCTGGCATTGCGTCCACGACTGCCTCGCGAGCGCGGCAACACCAAGGTGGTGCCGCGCTGGCGGGGCAGTATACCAGCCAACCTTGCCATGGGGAACGCCCACCGTGGCGGTCCTAGGCGCGGCAGCTGGAGTCGCCTGCGCCTTCGCGCGCCCAATCCCCAAGCTCCTTCCACAAGACTGGCCCCTTTTTGTATCCCGAGGGCGGCCTGTGTGCACCGCGCCGCATTGGCGTGTCCCGAGGCTGCGTCAAGCCTCGTACGATGCATCGAGTTTTGGCCCGTAGTGCATCGTACCGCGTTGGAGCGGGGCCTGGAGGGAGTCAAACGCATTGCACGCTGCGCCCATCCCCTGTGGAGGATGGGCGCCCCCCCCACCGGATGTCCCCAAGTTGGGCCCGCGATTATTTGGCCAGTCGGAAGTTCGATGGGTGACCAGATTTGCTCTCATACCCTTAAGTCGGGCCTGGCCCACCCCATTTCCACAATCGCTCCCCAGGCCTGTCCTAGCGTCGCGTCCTGGCCAGGGCTTCATGGAGCCCGTTCGGCGGCCGATCGAGCGCCATCCACGAAGACCTGTTGGAACTGAGCCCGTTCGGCGGCCGAGCGAGCTCCATGCGCGAAGACGTGCAGCATGGTGCAGCAGAGCAATCATATCGTAGCTCAGCGTAGCACGACACTGCACACCACAGCATGACACAGCACAGCATCGCACGCCATGCCATGCCATCGCATCGCATGGCATAGCATGGAGTAGCACGCCACGGGGTAGAGGATGGCACGGCAGCCGAGCACAGCATAGCCCGGATCCCCGAGGGCACCCCGAGCGCCACGGATCCGACGGGGCGACCAAGTGCCTTGTGCCCCGCGAGACGGCAGGACGAGTTGCAGGCCCTCCTCCGCGAGCGTTGCAAGGCGTGCCTCGTGAACGCCGTCGGGGACTCGCTGCAGGCCGCGGACCATGACCCTGCTGCTGCTGCTCATCCCCCTCGCGTCTAAAACGCCAATCTCTTCTCGATAATATCGATGTCCCTGATCAGCCACGCGCGGAGGGGGGTGGGGGGAGGGGGGATGGCTTCTTAGAGGCACCCCTGCCTCTTCGAAGGCGCGGGCCTTCTCTACAGATGTAAGGCCGGCGCCTTCTGAGATGCAGCCTCCTTCCAAGAAGCCCCCCCCCCTCACCCCCCCTGCCCCTAGAGGGCACGGCGGAGTGACAATCGTTCGCAGGACTGCGCCTCTAGTTACGTGGGTGGACGTTTTAAGACCGCTCAGTTGCACGGCAATCGAAGTAGCTTGTTTGGGAGAAGCAAAACCTCCCCCCCCACCCCCTTGTGCGCGCCGCTAGAGGTCCCTGACCCACGGTGTCCCCAGGACGTTGGGGTAGAAAGGCCCCGGCGGCCTCCGGAGCGCCCCATCACGAGGCCCTGAGGGCCTCCGTGTGGCTCCGAAGCGGCGCGAACAGCTGCGGACGCCTCGGACCAGGACCACCACTAGCAACCCTCGATATTAGCTGTTTCGATACGCGCGTTTTGCTACGCAACACGTGCCGTGCCCAAAACGCCCGTGTCAACGGGGTTGCGTGTTGGCCCAGCGTATTTGCCCACGTTTTGGTGAACGTATCGCGTAAGACTTACGTTTTCGGGCTACGTGTTGAGCTCCGTGCCAACGCGCTACGGGTCGCGTGTTGCGTATCAGGGCAGCTACGCCCCAGATCCTTCTTCCTCGGGAAAAAAACACATGCGACGATCCGCCACGCTTCCCGCCCGCGAGCTCGTGCACGAGCCTCGGTGGCCAAGGGCAGCCCCCCTTCTCGTATTGGACATGCGCTGCACACACGACCGACCCTTCGCCAGTGTGACCGTGTGCTGCGGCCCCACAGGGATCCGCCCAGCACCCCTCGCGGCCCCCGAGAGCCGCGCTCCAAAGGCCAGTTCTGCCCAGGGTTAAGTCGGGCGTGTCCCGTTCTCAAAAATTATCACCAAGAAAGTCGGTGGAGGATTTTTCAATATTGGTCCAGCATTTCTATAGTCTGTTTTCGCTATGTTTAATTATCCGCCCCAAATCCGCTTGTAAGGGGACATGCCCGACCGAAGCCCAGGGTCACCCATGCGTGTGGGCGATGAAGTCACGACCGAACACTTCGGTGTCTCACTTCTGCTCTGCCTTCTGGGGCCTTTGTTGGACCCCAGGGCCACTTTCCAGGCTCAGGGCCGTGTGGAGAGATCGCTCGCGATGGCACGCCAGCCTTGGGGAGGGCGTCGAAAGTTCCCAAGGTCGACCTTGCGAATCAACCGCGACGTCGGTGGTCGGTCCAATGATCAAATTGGTTAAATATTGCACGAACATAGAGAACACAATGTACAGTTCCAGATTCCATTGGTTTAGTTTTTTTCCTGGAATACAAGTTTAAGCTTGCGTCATACACGGGCTGATTTATATGTTTGGTTCTTTGCACACGAGATACCCTCAGTGGTCTGACTTTAGCTCGCCTACCAGGCGTTCCTCGTCTTCCCGTCGTGACCCCGTCGCCGCCACGGCGGGTTGAGGCTCGGAGAAGGGGTCCAGGGCCTGACTCTGAGCGGGATTCTGTCCAAGCAGGGATTAGATACGCTCGTGCTCGACCGAGAGGCCTGAAATCACAGGCAGGCGTGGGCGAGATCTGGATACACGCATGGCGTGCCTGCTTTCCGCAACCACTTCCACAAGTTGGAGGGGGAGGGGGTCCTCCTCCTCCTCCTCCTCCTCCTCCTCCTCGTCCTCCTTCTCCTCCTCCTCCTCCTCCTCCTCCTCCTCCTCCTCCTCCTCCTCCTCTTCGTCCTCCTCCTCATCCTCCTCCTCCTCCTCTTCGTCCTCCTCCTCATCCCCCTCCTCCTCCTTCACCCCTCCAGCTTCTGGTGGTGGTGGTGGTGGTGGTGGAAAACAGGCCCATCAACGTACGCGGTCGCATATGATGCTGGCGCCCGGCCCCGTGAAGGCGGGCACGGTGGCCCTCCGCACGTGTACCTTGCGCGTGGCCCTCGCAGGGCCCCGCACGCGAACCCACCCCTCGGCCTCGAGAGTGTGCCCGGCCTCGCGGCAAAGCATCCGAGGAAGCGTCAATGTTCCGCTCGCGTCTGCTTTGTATCAGCCATGTGCAGAGGGGGGTCCTCCTCCTCCTCCTCCTCCTCCTCCTCCTCCTCCTCCTCCTCCTCGTCCTCCCCCTCATGCTCCTCCTCTGTTCCGCGGCTTCCCCACCCCCTTGGAGGACCCTAAAGGAGGGGCCCGTGGACCGCCTTTAAGCGCGTGTGGGCCAGGCAGAAGGGCCGATGGTGTCAGGTGCTGAGGTGAGCCATCGCAGCGGAGGGGGGTAGGGGGAGGGGGGAGGGCTTCTTAGAGGCAGCCCTGCTTCTTAGGAGGCGCGGGCCTTGTCTGTATGTGTCAGGCCGGCGCCTTCTGAGAAGCAGCCTCCTTTCAAGAAGCCCGCCCCCCTCTCTCCACCCCCTTGTGCGCGCCGCCAATTGTAGGGCTTCCGGCTGCGCTCAGACAGCCCTCAGGTCGTCCCCGCTGGCATCAACAGGCCCCCGAGAAGTCCCGGGTGGTCTCAACACCCGAACCCCGGGGCGCGGCGCGCCCCCCCCGGGGGTGCCGCCAGAGGCGGCGCCAGGGTGTTGAGACTTGCCCGGTCTGCTCTGGGGGCCTGCTGCGGCCAGCCAGGACTGCCTGGCGGGGCTGTCTGTGCGCAGCCCGAAGCCTCACAGTCCTGCGTGCTCCTGCACCCCCATCCCCTCCGCATCCCCGATCACCTTCCCCCGCTCGTCCCCCAGCGTCGTTTCCGCCTTCGTCGTCATCGTCGTCCCCGTCCTGGTGGTTTGTGCTGCGGCGGCCTGCCTGGCTGAGGTGCGGTCCTTGCGATGTGAGGACGTCTCCTCCCCCACCATCTTCCAACCTTTGTGCTCTCCACCTCCCTCCTCGCTCGCCCCTCCCATCTCCCACTGCCCCCTCTCCCCAGGGAGGAGAAGTACGACGAGCAGGAGCACGAGGAAAGCGAGGCAGAGACAGAGACAGAGACACAGACACGTCTACACAGACACACATATACACATATACACATTTACACAAAGAGACAACAGCAGAGAGGGCAGAGGACGAGAGAGATAGAGGGATAGGAACTGAGATAATAGGACAGGACGGGGGAGGGAGGGGGAGAGGGGAGATGAGGAGAAGAGATAGGGAGAGAGAGGGGGGGGGGCAAGAGGCGGGGGAGGTGGAAGGAAAGAGGGATGATGATGAGACAGATTAGCAAAGGGAAGATAGGACGTTGATGAGGACAAGTTTAACAAAGAGGCGGAGGAGGGGTGGAGTAGGAAGTGGATGTTGGTGGAAGAGAACACCTTCTTTCCTTCTCATCCCATGTTCCATTCTCCCGGCTCGGGGCCTAGGGGCCCAGCGATGTTCCCCGGATGCCGAAAACAATAAGAAAAACATTCCGTCATGTGTTTCGAGATGAGGGGGGTCCCCCTTGCGTTGGGAAATATGGCAAAGTCGAGAAGAGTATCAACCAGAGCCCTAGATTCAATATGGTACCAGAAAACAACCCCAATCATAGTCGTTTTAGGGCTATAAATAGGGCTATGGGGCTATAGGGCTATGGAACTATAGGGCTGTAGTGCCATAGGGCTGTAGGTCTATTGGGTTATAGGGCTATAGGCCATACGGCTATAGGGCTGTAGGTCTATAGGGCTATAGGGCTGTGAGGCTCTGGGGCTATGGGGCTATAGGCTACAGGCGTAGGGCTATGAGTCTATAGGGCTATGCGGCTACAGGGCTATAGGACCATAGGGTTTTTGGGCTATAGGGATATAGGTATTTGGGGCAAAAGGGCTATAAGGCTATAGGCATATAGAGAATAGGGCTATAGGACTTTCGGGTTATAGGGCTATAAGGCTGTAGGGCGATGGGGCTACAGGGATACAGGGCTATAGGGTTATAGGGCTATAGGGCTAGTGGGCTATAGGGCTATCGGGCTATGTGGCTATAGGGCTATTGGGCTATAGGGGTATTGGGCTATAGGGCTATGGGCTATAGGGCAATAGGGCTCTAGGGCGATTGGGCTATAGAGCTGTAAGGCTATAAGGCTATAGGGCTACAGGGCCACAGGGCCATGGGGCTATAGGGCCATAGGGCTATAGGTCTATACGGCACCCGGGCACCTGGGAATCCGGGCGGTCCGCGGAAGTCGGCGTCCAGCTCACCTGACCATATGAATCCGCTATAGGACCTCTACAGAGGCAAGCTCTGATTGGGGAGTTTTCCTTCATCTGTCGGGCCGCGTCGATCTGTGATTGTCCCGGGGCCCGAAGACGGGCAACAATCCAAAGTGTGTCTCACCCGAACAGCAGCACAGTTTAACAGGCGCGTCGAGGAGTAGGCGGTCGTCGAGAGGGTATTGGGATGACGACGCGGCCACGTGCAGCTCATAGGCATTTTCGCATGTCATCTTGTTATTCAGCCGAAGCAGGGGTGCCCCACTGGGGGCCGATCCGCGCGACGAGGTGCAACGTAGATGATCGTGGTCGCGGCCGCGAGGGTTGCCTCGTCGCCGTCGCTGTCACCGCCGTCGCCGTTTTCTTCGTTCCCACGGCGATGCCATCCGTGGCCATGTTGTCCCAACCCTGATTTCCATGTTCCGATACCGAATGTCAGCCAGAGGCAGACAGCGGAGCGCCTATCCGGGTTCTTCGACTTTGCAGGCGAGGTGGGCGTGCTGGGGAAACGTGGCAGGGTCGAGGTCTCGATCGCAGCGCGGACTTCAACGCTTTCCGCGCCCAGGTGACTGCTGCCCGCTCCGCGCAAGACCCGTGACGTCGCGCCGAGGACACGCTTGATAAGCGCAGGCACTGCGCATGGCTCGGCGCACGCTCCGCACGGGCGTCACATAGAAGGGTGCACGCCTCGCGCCACACCAAGCTGCCAGCGCATGCGCCGCAGGGGGCCATCGATGTATCCGCGCGGGGGCTCTACGCGCGGTCAGGCGCACGCATCGCGGGCGCGTCAACCCAGGTCCTCACCTTCGCGCGGTTCCCGCAGGCACGGCGGTCATGTGTGCCCATCCCCGCAGGCACTGATGATGGTACAGCACAGCCACCTCCAGCACTCGAGGTAAGAGGGTGCAGACATCGCCTTGTCATCGCAGGCGCTGGCGCAGGCACCCGGGACCTTGGTCTTTGTCGGCGCAGGCACGCCATCCCATGTTGGGGTTATAGAAGTATAGAAGCTCGGGGCGGGCGCGCGCAGACTTTCACACTGCATCGGCGCCATTGCCCCAAACGTGGCGTCGGGCCTTCCGCGGGTGCGAGCTTTGGGCGCTCGAGAGCTCGCTCGAGCAACGCAGAGATGCGGCAGCGGAAGTTCGCGCACGCGCCCCCGTGCGCGCAGGAAATCAGTTTGTTCATATGGCCCATGGCGCGTCGTTGACAGGCACGGAAACATGGCGGCGCCGATCAAATACGTTTGAAATGAGTACGCCCATGGCGCATTTGTCACAAAGCGTCGTTGGCGTCCTGACCAAAAACGTAGCCAGCACTGGGGTGAGAACACGATTCTGGGATGCATTGTGAGGAAATGTCAGGCGAAGCGGCTGCTGGATTGGACGGTCTGGGGTTCCCCGCCCCCCCTTGTGGGGGTCTTTTGTGGTTTTGTTATCACTCTACTGTAACATTGTAACGCGTGGATATCGGATTTTTTCGATGGGGACAGCACGCCGCACCCAGCCAGGCCCCCACCCCCAACCTCGTGATCCAGAGGGTTCCCTGCTGGGGAGGAAGGATTCTTATGGATTTTCGGGGCCCCAACAACCAGCCTCGCCCCCAGCCAGGACCCTTCACTCGTCTTCATTCCTACCTTCATTCCTCACCCCTCCCTCCCTCTCTGGCTCTACCCCAGCCCCCTGGGCCCCCCCCTGGGCCCCCCCCATTCTCTTGCTTCGGGGAGGGTCCCAACGGGGTGGCCCAGTTTGTGGGGGAGCGGGGCATTGCGTCCTCTTCGTGTTGATCCCCGCGGTCCCTCTGGGACTTCGCCTCCGGCTCCTGTCCAAGGCGTACCTTTTCCTGTGCAAGCTCTCCGGCACCGCCTGCACCCCGCACCCTCCGGCCGCCTGAGGCCCCGCCCGCCCGCGCCCTCTCTCCCCAATGTTGTGCTCTGCGCGCCCCGCCGAGCTCTGGACCGGAAGAGGCCCGCTCTCGACCCGCCGACCAACAAAAAAAATGTTCGGGGAGGGCCCCAACGGGTTGCCCCAGTTTGTGGGGGAGCGGGGCATGGCGCCCCTTCCGCGTGGCTCCCCGCGCGCGCAGGGCAACGAGGCAGGGGCCGTCCGGCAGATGCAGCGCCTCGACCTGCTGGCCGCCTTCGCGGCGGACACCGAGAAGATCGACCTCTCGCAGGAGACGGCGGCCAGCGGCGGAGGGCCCCTGCTGCCGGGAGGGGGGGGGGGGCAGGAGGAGCAGAAGGAGGAGGAGGAGGAGGAGATGGAGGAGATGGAGGGGAGGAGGAGGAGGAGGCCTCCTGCAGAACCCTGCCGTCTCACACCCTGCGGGCCAGCCGACGCCCTCCGACCGGGCGGACGCTCCCGGCTCCAGCGTGCGCGCCAGCGGGGAGGGAGCCGGCTTTTGTCAGAGCTGATCTGGCGTTCGAGCCGAGCAGGGCAACCTGAGGGGCACCTGGTCGCCATACCAAACGACTGGTGGAAGAAGGGGTGGGTGCCCCCAGGAGGTCTGTGCGACGTTCCCCTGGGGAGGGTTTGGAGGTCCCCGCAGACTTCTTGGATCGGCGCCGGGCCCTCCGGCGGCGCCTGCGGCGCAGCCCGGGGCGCGCCTCGCACGCCAGAAGAGGGGGGTCCAGCGCCGATCCAAGAGGTCCACACGGGCCTCGAAGACTTCGTTTCCCCCCCAGGTTTGAGCTCTGATTTAGACTGGGTGGCAGAGATTGGGCGAATCTCCACAGAGAGAGGCCGCAGAGCTGACAGTGACGGAGATTCCTGGGAGGATGACGCCTCCGAGCCTGATTGAGGCCTGTGTTCTTGGACTGTCCTTGAGACCACACGCAACAACCCCCCAGGTTTGAGTCAGGGGCTGCGGCTCGCAGACCGGGGGACGGTACCCATCACCAATGTAGCTCGATGAGCGGCTGCTGGGGCCAGCAGGGAAGGAGGACTGCACCTTGTTGGCTTCTGCCTCTGCTGCATCGCCGCAGGCGTTGCCCCGATATGCCCGCTCTGTGCGGCGCGGACCTGTGTATTTGCTCTTGCCGTCTCGGTCTGGCGCGACGTGCCTCTTCCCAGCGCAAGGGGGACGGCACTACGATATCTTGGAAGCGGGGTGCTTCACAGAAGAAGTCGCACGTTGAATTGACAGTGGCAACTAGCAGACCGACCTGTGGCCGACGAGGACGTTGTGTATGGGATGGGTATACCGTATTGCTTAGGCAGTTGCTTGTTCCTCCAGGCAAGGGGAGAGGGATGTTTGGATTGCGCCTCTGATTCAACCGCTGGCTGGTTGGAAAAGGACGGCCCTCGGCAACCGGCTAAGCGAGACAGACCTTTGCAGCCGGCAAAGTTGTGGCACTGGCGCCAAGGATGTTGGCAGTCGTCGCTGCCGTCTTGGCAGGGAAAGGCAGTGAGGTGCATCCGGGCAGTACAGCGATCAGTAAGACCAGTTCTGAGGGGCTGTTGTCCACCACCGCCACCACCATAAGTCGGAGGGGGTGGGGGTCCTCCTCCTCCTCCTCCTCCTCCTCCTCCTCCTTCTCCCCCTCCCTGTCCGCTTCCTTTCCCCCTCCAACTCCTGGTGGTGGTGGTGGTGGTGGTGGTGGTGGTGGTGAAACACGGGCCCACCAAGTGAGGGAGCACGGTGACAGCAGCACAACAGGCAGGCAGCAGGGGGTGGTTTTGGGCTGTTCCCCCGTGCTGGGTCACCAGGGGGAGGAGGGAGGGAGGGAGGGTTCACTGGTCGAGACCAGGGCGGGCCTCCCCGGCGTTTCTTACCGTCCTCGGTCCTCCTCCTCCTTCTCTGTCTCCTCCCATTCTTCCTCCCCCTCCCCCTCCCCCTCCCCCTCCCCCTCCTCCTCTTCCTCTTTCTCCCATTCCTCCTCCTCCTCCAATTCTTCCTTCTCCTGCCCCTCCTCCCCCTCCGCTCCTCCTCTTTCTCCTATTCCTCGTCCTCCAATTCCCCCTCCTCCTCCTCCTCCTCCTCCTCCTCCTCCTCCTCCTCCTCCTGTCATTCCTCCTCCTCTCATTCCTCCTCCTCCTCGGCCTCCTCCTCCTCCTCCTCCTCCTCCTCCTCCTCCTCCTCCTCCTCCTCCTCCTCCTCCTCCTCCTCCTCTGTTCCGCCTCTTCCAAAACCCTGGAAGGACCCTATGGGAGGGGCCCGTGGACCGCCTTTGAGCGCGTGTGGCCAGGCAGAAGAGCCGACGGTGTCAGGTGCTGAGGTGAGCCCCGGCAGCTGAGGGGGGCAGGGGAAGGGGGGAAGGTTTCTTAGAAGCACCCCTGATTCTTTGAAGGCGCTGGCCTTGTCTGTAGATGCATGGCCGGCGCTTTCTAATAAGTAGCCTCCTTCTAAGAAGCCCTCCCCCCTCCCCCCCCCCTTCTGCGCGCCGCCAAGGGTGGGCGGGGGGCGCCGCCGACGACGACGACGATGACGACGACGAGGGCAGGGGAGAGGGGGGGGGGAAGGAAGTGGGAGAAGGATCCGACCCGGCATCTGGGCGTTATGATTTCTTTAACTCGGGGCATTTCCGCTCAGTTTCAGGCCCCAGGACAACCACGGATCGACCAGGCTCGAAAGATGCAGCAGAAGGGTGAGGTCTCGGGCTGCGGTGTGGATTTCTCCCGACGCTGATTTTTGTTTGCCCGGTGGGGAGGGGAGGATGGAGTGAGGGAGGGAGGGGGACCACATGCGGAAGGCGTCAATATTTTCGGGGTCTTCGCTGTGAAAAGTCATGTCGTCAGAGTTCTCGGCAGGATCCGATGCGGAACAGGTGCCGATGCAGCGTCGCGTCCTGGAAAGCTTCCGTCGTCACGGACGCATGACGTTCGAAATTCTACACGGAGCGCACCTCTGGACAGGTCCAGGGAGCGTCGGTGTGGAAAATAATCGGACGAATCAGACGGGAACGAAGAAGACGATGAGGATCGAAGAAGAAGAAACGCCATAAAACATAAACTGTTGGCGCTCCGCGCGGATTTCTTCGATCCGCGCTGGGGCCCCCCCTTGCGGCGCCTTCGGCGCCGCCCGCGGCGCGTTCCGCTCGCCAGGGAGAGGGGGGCCCAGTGCAGATCCAAGAAATCCGCGCGGAACGCCCAAAGTTTATGTTATTCGTTTTGTCTCCCTCTATGCGACCTCTCTGCACCCCTCCCCCGTCTGATTACTGTGCGTGCCCATTCCGTCCCCCGCTCCGCCTCCTCCTCCTCCGCCTCCTGCAGCCTCCTGCTGCTCCTCCCTCCTCCCTCTCCTTCCTGCTCCTGCTCCCGCTCCTCCTCCTCCTCCTCGTCCTCCTCCTCCTCCTCCTCCTCCTCGTCCTCCTCCTCCTCCTCCTCCTCCTCCTGCTCCTGCTCCCGCTCCCGCTCCTCCTCCTCCTCCTCGTCCTCCTCCCTCTCCTCCTCTTCCTCCCGCGCTCCGGCTGCCCCTCCTCCAGGACTGGGAGGTGTCCAGGGACATGAAGGAGAAGCTCCTGAAGACGTACGCGTCGAGCCCACTGGGCTCCCAGAGCAAGAGGACCTCTTCCCCTCTTGGTGGGTTCACAGATCAGGAGGGAAAGAAACACACAGACACCATTAATCGTCGACTTCCAGGAAAATATGGGAAAATATGGGAAGTGGGGGGGGGAAGACAAAAACCCCGAAAATATCGGAAAATATGGGGGATCCAATTATTTGTGTGTATTTGTGTGTCCCAGGGCCCCTTCAACAGAGCCAAGACGCTGACGTGAGGACAACCTCGGGCTCCAGATGGGACTTTTGTTCTCCGGCGGCTCCTCAGATTTAGGGCGTGTCACCGGTTCGCGGCCAGGGTTCGCGGTGTCTCCACAAGACCCCCTGCGTTTATGATGCAGCCTTGCCCATGTTAGCACGAGGGGGCGATCCCGACTTGGCGTGTCGCCTTCGGCTTGTCCCCGCTACGCGCGAGGACTACATGGGCGATCCAGAGTTGGCGTGTCGCCTTCGGCGCGTCCTCCCACCTGCGGAAGCAGGCGGAAGCGTAGCTGCGGCGGGTTTGCAGGCGGCAGGTCGGCGGAAGCCGGCGAAAACATAAGAGGGGCGGCAATTGCTCGGGGTTCCCAGAGTCGGCAGGGTGTCCTCCTGTCCTCCTGCTGGGGGGGGGGGGCTGCCGAGAGACAGCGCAATGCCGAGCACACCACCTGTGCACAGTTTGCTGTGTGATCGCTGTCCCTGCATGTGTGTTCGCTGTCAGAGCACCTGGCTGTTTGATGTGCATTGCGCGCTCTCTCTCTCTCTCTTCCTGCTGATTCTCTCTTTCTGTTGAGACGGTCCTTCAGAGCCCCGAATCATCAGGGGTAACTCGGGTCAGGGATAACTCGGGTTCCTTTTTCGGGAATCCAAACCCGAGTTATCCCGGACCCGAGTTACCCCGGATGATTCGGGCGTCCAAGAGCCCCGAATCATCAGGGGTAACTCGGGTCAGGGATAACTCGGGTTCCTTTTTCGGGAATCCAAACCCGAGTTACCCCGGACCCGAGTTATCCCGGATAACTCGGGCGCCCAAGTCCTGGGGAAGGGTGCCTTGATTTTGTTGTCGCCGACATCGGTTTTCACGCGGCCCTTCGGAAAACGACTGTGGATGAAGACCGATCCTGGGGGAAGCCCCAGGGTATATTGGACCCTTTTTCTCGGCCACGCCTAGGGACCCGTTGTCCGTCTCTTCGCAGCAGTGGTGTTCGGTACGCTACGGCCTAAGAGTGACCCTTCGCCACAGGGGTCCCCCGCAGCACGTGCCTGCGAGGTTAGATTTGCACCCCCTGGCGGTCAGCTTACGCTGCACACCAAGGTTTTCTTTCGTGCCTGGGGTCACTCATGCGTGTAGCCGATGTACTCCTGGGCCCCTCCCCTTTGTCTCCGTGGCAGCAATTCAATCGCCGATGTCATGGCCAGCCATTCTCATGGCACTGCCTCCGCTGCGCCCTGCTCATCACCCTCCTCACTCTCCTGACCGTGCACATGTTTAATACATCGTCTCATTACGTTTGTCATTGTTCTCTTCGGGTCTCCGCAGCCAGTTTCTTCATCCTTTGCTCGGCCATAGAATCGGAGGACCCCTGACGTCAAGCTCCTCGAGCAAGTTTTGAACATGGCCTAGTGTCTAGTGCCACCAGACGGCGCGCGTTTGCGCATGCATGCTGATGTACCGGCGGACTCTTAGCCATACGGGGTGAGGTTTGAACAGCAATGGTGAGTTGGGACCCACCAGCCAAGCAGTGGAGAAAGAGATGGAAAGAGAATGAGAGGCGCACGAGCGATTGCGGACATGATCTGTGAGTGACATGGTGCGAATAGTGGGCGGGAGAACGATTTGATGCACGCCAGAGAGTCCCACAACAAAAACGAGGGCGACACAGAGACGGAGACGGAGTACGAAGAGAAGTATACGGAGACGGAGATCGGCGAGGAAGATGATGAGCAGGAGGCAACGACAGGACGAGGGAGAAGGATACGCAAAGACGGAGATGAGCACAGCGAAAAGTGCCCACTGGGACATCGCCTGAACATCTCCCAGCCTCTTCTGGACACCACTGCAGCACGCAGCCTGCTGATATTCTCCTTGGGTTATGGCCCCCAGAGACCATTGTCAGAAGCCCTTCTCCGTGATATTCTTCGCAGCGCGATGTCTGGGAGTTCCTGGAACCGCCGGCGTGGGGCCTTCTCTCCCCACTGCACGCGCACTCGTCTTCGAGAGTCGCCGGGTACCTGGGCGGGCGGGTCCCCCCAGAATGCCCACGCGAAGTGTTTTTTTCTTAGAGTGACCCTTCGCTGGAGTGACCCCTGGTGCGGGCCCACAGTGGCTTCGCCAGCACTGGCTGGCGCGCTTGGATCGGTTCGGCGTGCACGCGGCTGCCTGGGGCCACTGCTGCGTGTGAGAGAAATTCCCCACGGCTGTCCGCCCCCCTCTGCCGCAGCCGGCGAGGCGGGGGGGGGGGGCCGGAGAGCCAGGGCGGAGAGCTGGGCCTCCTGGCGCCGTGCAGGAAGCCGCGGCGGACGGCTGCTGCCTGTCCTTGGGGCCTCGGGCGGCCGGTGCCCGGGCCCCCGGGGCCGTCCGAAGACGACTGGGCCCGGAAGGGGTCCGGACCTCCAGGGGCCCACGCTGCGAGACGATCGCGTCGTGGGGGGGTCCGCGGAAGGGAGTGGGCGAGAGGAGGAGGGGGGAGGACTGGAGGGGGCGAGGGGCGGAGGGACGCATGGACGGAGGTGAATGGCCAAGGGTCGGGTGTGACTGCTCAGGGGTTCCTGTGAGCGCAGTGAATGGCTAGGCGGGCTGAGGGGCAGGGTGGAGGGCAAGCAGCACGGGCAGCAGCGGGACAGCGGCTGGAGCCGCTGCCACTCACCCCGCGGACTGGGACCCCGAAGCAGCCTTCGTGAAAGGATGGGCCAGGCGAGGGTCGGGCGCCTGCCGCAGTTCCTTTGCCCAGCGGCCGGCGCGGGCTGAAACGCCCGCCGGGGTGCAGTCGAACCGCAGTGATTTTTGAACGTTCCCGTTGCCGGAGGCCCCTGGTTGGGTGGCAGCGGCGCGGCACCACCTCGGGATGGATGGCAGGAACCTTCAGTCGGGCGTGTCCCTCTAGTCTGGGGGCTATTTTATTCTTATTTTTGACTATTTGTGAATATTGTGAAGGCCTGACGGCCGGTGCCGCCGACCCTGAAAGACATCGACGACGACCAGGAAGGGTAGGAAGAGGAGAAAGAGCAGGAGGAGGAGGCGGAGATAAGGAGGAGGAGGAGGAGAAGGAGAACGAGAAAGAGGAGGGAAAGGACTCCCCCCTGGCCCCCCCCCCCGGGGAGGAGGACAAGCGGAGGACCGGCGTCGCAGAGGGGAGCCTCGGGGAAGGGGAGGGGGAGGAGGACCCCGAGGGACAAATGCGTATCTGACTCCCCTCCCCCCCCCCGGGTCTCCTCCCCATCTGGGGAGAAGGGCCCGAGGAGGACCGGCGCGCCGCCAGAGAAGGGCCGGCGTGGGAGAGGAGGACCCCCGGAGGCGATGCGAATCTGACCCCCCCCCTGCTGGCGAAGGGACAAAGGGAAGGGGCCTCCTTTTGACGTAATAAGGACGTGGATGGAATTCCCTCCAGCTGCGAGCCCGTTCCCCGAACGAGAACGAGGAAGGGTGCTCTCTCTCTCTCTCTCTCTCTCCCTCTCCCCCGACGGGAAAGCAGGATGGGAAGGGGACGAAGGAAGGCCCCCCGCCGACGGGACCAGACAGACACCCCGCACACGTCGACAGGGTCGGCGGATTTGTGGACTATTATTGTTAATTTGTGATGCAAAATCAGCTTGTAGGAGGACATGCCCAACCTAAGAGGAAACGGACGGGGCCAAGACGAGGACGAATCCTCCCCAGCGCGTTCCAGAACGCTCTGAGCAAGCCACGGCGCCCGAGACCTCCTCCAGGGCCGCCAGATCTCGGAGATTCTCGATTGATCCTCGCCCAATGTATCCTCGCCCTCGCTTCGTCTTGCGGAACTTGGAAGCGAGAAGCAAGCAAACGGCGACGGACGCGCAGGCGGGAGGCTACGGCTGGATCCAGGGCACCCGCAGGGCCGCGGACATCCCCGAGGGCCCGGCATGCAGAGCTGCCCGACACCGAGGGAGCGGCGCGCGAATGGTGCGACGACAACCGCACTCCGACACTCCAGGCCTCCCAACTGCGGTGCGAGTAGAGGGGGGCGGATGATCATGCTGATACTGGCCACTGTGGCCTCAAACGTTTTGTGGGCCAATTTGTATCAGCCGCCATATGCTTTCTTGCTCCGCGAGTTCCCCGAGTCCAGGTTTCTTGCAAGTTCTGGTTGTTGTCATTGTTGTTGCTGGTGTTGTTGATGTTGCTTCTGGACGCTGCACCTAGCCCCGCCCCCCCCCCAAAAAAAAACAACAACCGGCAACCCCAGCAACCTCCCGGTGGGGTCTTCGGCCCCTCTGGGGGGTTGCTGGGGTTCGTGAGGATTCTCATGGATCCCGGATGGATTCCTGAAGACTTCCTGGCGGATTCCTGAGGGATCCTTGGTGGATGCCTGCAGGATTCCTGAAGGATTCCAGAAGGATCCCTGAGGATTCCTACGGGATGCCAGGGGGGATTTCCAACGGATTCTTGAAGATGCCCGAGGGATTCTCGAAGGATCCCTGAGGATCTCAGAGGGATGTCCAGGGAATGCCGCATGGACTTCCATGGGATTGTAGGGATTCCTGAAGAATTCTGGCGGAATCACGGCAGGAAGCCTAAGGATTCTGAAGGGATTCTTGGAGCATTCCTCCCGCATGTGTTTCATCGAGAGCGCACGTCCATGGGGTCGTGCAGGCAAACTCCATATGAGGAGTGGTAGGTTTCAAGCTAAGCTTGAAGGGCCAGTTGGGTTGATGTTTGCTGGTTGCTGGGGGAGGACCGACCTCCGGGGCTCTAGGTCCATGGTCGTCCCTCAAGGACAACCCTTGACCTCAGCCCCCGTGCAACGGGGCTCTAGCTGCTGTTGTAGGTGGTGTTCTTGTTGTTGCTGCTGTTGTTGTTGGTGTTGGTGCTGATGTTGGTGGTGATGTTGTTGATGGTGTTGTTGCTGAAGGTGTTGGTGTTGCTGTTGTTGATGTATGCTTGTATTGCTGATGCATTGGTTGTGGTTGGTTTTGTGGGTGTTGGTATTGTTGTTGTGGGTGTTGATGTTGTTGTTGGTGTTGTTGGTGGTATTGAACTCCCACTTCTGAATCATAATTATTGTTGATCACCCCCGTCCAGTGCACATTGTTTTTTCGATTGAAGTGCCTTTCCCGTGGTTCGCACCATGTTTTTTGTATCAGGGGAAGTCTTGAGGGTCGAACTGTGTTGTTCGCCCCCGGTTTATCACAACAACGGCTCCCGCCTGATACGTCCTCACGATGTATTGAAGAATCGCGCTCTCGCTTGGGACTTCCTATCAATTCACCACCAGATCGCGGCTCCCGCTTGATACTTCCTCGCAATGTATTGAAGAATCGCTTTCCGCGTTCTTCTCGACACCTCTGCAGTTCTCATCATCCTTCCGGCCCGCTCTCCCAACATCCCGCTTCTTGCCAGCGTTCCACAATATTTGTTTCTGACACCAGTTCGCAGCTGTACGTCCCCCCTTGGGGTATCCACGAAATATGTTTGCAAAGGGGGGGTCCGTGGCGCTGTTAATGGCGCGACCCATGGCGAAATTTATTGTTAACCTGTGTTGGAGTGGCTGGCGCAAGCCATGGCGCAAGCTGAATCGCCACTCGCAGCGCCAGTCGTCGACCTCCCTCCTTCTTGCCCCTCCCCTCCCTCCCTCCGACCCCTTCGTCCTCACTCTCCCCCGTTATCTGTTACCCTTCGCTTTCAAGGACTTCACGAAACACACGTGGCAGGGAATGACTAGGCCCCCCAGAGGGGGTACGATTGAAGACGAAGAGGGCGGGTATCCAGGGTTTGGGATATGCATATTGAAAGACACGCGAGCAGATAAGAGCGAACAGTCTTAAAATGACGGTTGCTGTTGTTGTTATATTGCGGTCGGCCTCGCTGAAGCCGTGCGCGTTCCGGATCGCCCCCTTCGCGGGCAGCGGATTGTTTGTTTTGATATGCCTAGCTGTTATGACACACGCGGGGGCGGATGATCGCCAATCCGATGTTTGGTTAGCTGACGATCCGATATGTGCTTGGCGTTGGCTTGTAAGGTTCCAACCTACTTTAGTCTTGATCACCTGAGCGAACCTCGAGCGCAATAGCGACAGAGTGCCCAAGCCCGAGGTTGTTCACTTGTCGGGCCTTGGGAGGCGAAGCGCGTTCGGTTGTTGTTCGCGTGTCGGCTAGACACTGTCTGGGTGATCTGAGCAACCAGACAGTGTCTACACAAACATCATGTCGAGCACCGTGCTCGAAATTATTTCCCGGATGTTGTTCTTCATCACGATGGGGACAACATAAGCGTTGGCGCGCATTCCTTTGCAGCTGATCCGACGCATTTTCCGCGCCGGTCCGATTCGACGACTTGATGCATATCGATCATGCGACACGGAGGGGAGGTTCTCCGCGGCTGTTTCTTCAGTCCAGGTATTCCAAGTGTGCTCCGAGCAGATGGGGTCGGAGAATCGCGCCGCATCGCCGATGCATCTGCGATGCGGCTCGCTGTGGCAAAATGTTTTTTTCTGCGCCGATGCCGCCGATACAACGCCCATGGCGACGATGCATGGGCGACGCGGCGCGATCAACCCCCTTCATGTTATCGGGCCCCACCCGCCGCTCAAGAGCCCTCCCTCGAATATGATGCATCATGCGATCCCCACCCGAACGATCCCCACCCGAGAGCGCGAGGTGGGACCCCCATGAAGCACCGGGCCCCTTCGGACCTGGCGGGCGCGGCATGCCGTCGACACTCGTCGGAGGCGCGGGGCGGGACACGCAGGGCGCACCGGGACACTTGGGGTTTGGCGGCCGCGGTACGCACGGTGTGCGGAGCGGGTAGCGAGTCCTTCCCTCTCAATCCAACCACCACAGCTTTTCGGGTGGACAAAAAAAGACGTTTCCTAAGCGAACCGACCATGGTACGTCCTAGCCGACTTGTGACGCTGCGCGGGGGCCGGCATCTCACAAACCAGCCAACCCAGGCTTGACGTTGTGGCGCCGCCTGGGAAAGGTGGCCGTCTCTCTGCCGTGAGGCAGTCCACGCGCTTTAAGTGAGAAATCGCGCGCTGACGCGCTGCTGAGCGGCTGCAAGTCGAGAAGAGACCAAATCGACCCCCCCGCCCCCAGCCCCTTGCGCCGCGCCCGCCGAAGGGCAGAGGGAAGGGGCGGCCTTAAATCGAGCTTCGAATCGAATTCCTCATTGCCAACGCCGTCCCACAAAAGGTAAATAAACGCACGAGACCCACGCATGCACAAGGCGTAGACGTCCGAGCGATGGGGAGATGAGGGCCCTCTGCCCCCCCCCAAAAAAAACACCTCTGCGTGAGGAGGAGGAGGAGGAGGTGGAGGAGGAGGAGGAGGTTCCTCCTCCCCTGCCCCCTCCTCTCCTCTCCTCCTCCTCCTCCTCCTCCCCCCTCTCCTCCCTCCCCCCCCTCCTCCTCCTCCTCTCTCCTCCTCCTCCTCCTCCTCCTCCTCCTCCTCCTCCTCCTCCCTCCTCCTCCTCCTCCTCCTCGCCCGTGCCCCCCGAACCAGGAGCCTCGCCCTTTGCGCGCGGCGCAGAGGTCGTGCATCATGCCCTCTGCCGCCCGCCCTGGGCGGGCAGAGCGCCCGTCGGCCGCGGCGCCGCGAAAGGGCGTCCTCCTCCTCCGCCTCATCCTCCGGCATCCTCCTCCTCCTCCTCCTCCTCCCCTCCTCCTCCTCCTTCTCCTCTTTCTCCTCCTCCCTTTTCCTTCGCCTCCTCATGTTCTCCTCCTCCTCCTCCTCCTCCCCGGCCCCCTCCGGCCCCCTCCTCCTCCTCCTCCTCCTCCTCCTCCTCCTCCTCCTCCTCCTCCTCCTCCTCCTCCTCCGTCCGCCTCCGCCTCCTCCCCCCATCCTCTTCCTCCTCCTCGTCCTCCGCCGTTCGTTCGGCCTGCCGCTGCCGCGGCGTGGCTGTGCCGCGCAGGGCTTGATGGGCAACCTTTCCACCACCTTTACCTCATGTTTAGGACGGGGGAGAAGGGAGAACGAGGAGGTCCACATCCTCCTCCTCCTCCTCCCTCTCCTCCTCCTCTCCTCCTCCTCCTCCTCCTCCTCCACCTCCTCCTCCTCCTCCTCCTCCCTCTCGTCGTCCTCCTCCTCTCTCAGGCTACTTTAACTCCTCCTCCTCCTCCTCCTCCTCCTCCTCCTCCTCGTCCTCCTCCTCTTCCTCCTCCTCCCTCTCCTACATATGGGCCCATCAGGGATGTGTTGCAAGGCCGTGCCCACTTCGATCTGGCCGAGGCGATTCGATATCGATGTCCCGATTTGATGCCGGCTGATCTCGCGGCACGGAGACCAGTATCTTCATGGTTGGCTCGTCAGTCCCGGTAGACTGGTAGTGTGGTCTCCTCAGTCTTCAAAATGCGGTCCGAGTAGACGGGGTCAGAGGATCGCGCCGCATCGCCGATGCATAAGCCACGTGGCTCGCTGTGGAGCCTGATCTTCTCCACGCCGACGGCGCCGATGTCGCCGCTGCGGCTGCGACGAATTTGCGATGCGGCGCGATCCTCTGAAGCCATCTGCGGGGACCCCTGTTGGGGAGGCCTCCATGATGGGCCTGTTTTCCACCACCACCATCATAAGTCGGAGGAGGAGGAGGGGGAGTAGAATGAGGAGGAGGAGGAGGAGGAGGAGGAGGAGGAGGAGGAGGACAATGACGAGGAGGAGGACCCCTCCCCCTCCAATTTATGGTGGTGGTAGTGGAAAACAGGCCCATCACTCCAGGCACCAGCTGGTCGCCGTCGCCAGAGAGCGTGGGGGCAGATGTTTGGGGCGAGTGGGCAGCGCTGTCGTCACGGGGAGGGCGGGGGCTCCAATTCGAGGGGCAGGGAAGTCCGCATCCATCAGGCCATGATGAGAAGGAGGAGGAAGAGGAGGCATAGAAGGAGAAGGAGGAGGAGGATGATGATGAGGAGCAGGAGGAGGAGGAGGAGCAGGGGGAGGGAGGAGGGGTAGGAGGAGGAGGAGGAGGATGATGATGATGATGAGGAGGAGGAGGTAGAGGCGGAGGAGGCGCAGGAGGAGTAGGTTTAACGCCACAGGCTTTGTCCTAAGGTTTGCCCGACGTCCAAGTTCGAGATGGAGGATGATGATGAGGAGGTGGAGGAGGTGGAGGATATAGAGGAGGAGGATGAGGAGGAGGAGGAGGAGGAGGAGGAGATGGAGGAGGGGAGGCAGGGAGGATGAAGAAGAGGATGAGGGTGCGGATGAGGAGGAGGAGGAGGAGCAGGAGTAGGTGGGGGGAGAGGAAAAGGAGGGGGGCAAGGAGGAGGAGGAGGAGGAGGAGGAGGAGGAGGAGGAGGAGGAGGAGGAGGAGGAGGAGGAGGAGGAGGAGGAGGAGGAGAGGAGGAGGAGGAGGAGGAGGAGGAGGAGGAGGAGGAGGAGGAGGCAGCATGGAGGCTGCGCCATCCCTCTCCCTCGTTGCTTCCATGAGTTTTTCATGGCTGTCACTTCCCCCAGCATCGAAGGCTTCACCCCTCTCCCCTAGTCATGTCTCCGTGCCTCCGTCTTCCATTTACCACCTTCCTGCTTATCATGTTTCCGATTGTGAGTTTTCCCTTTGCCTGCGATGTGCCATCTGCCCGCTGCGGGCACAAGGCTGGCGTGCCTCTCCTTGTCGCTCTTGCTCGGGCCTGCTCCTCTGCGTCGGCTCGGTATTCGTGTGAGCGGTCGAGTGCCGCACGCTCGTTGCGCGGGTCGGCGTTTGCTTTGTTCGCCCTGATCTGCGGCCACTGTCTGATTGTTGCAGACGTTTCGGCGCGCCCTTTCGGCAACGCCCAGTCTCTCGGCACGGGGCCGCCATGGGCCCGCTGCTGTCTGCGCCGCCGCCGGACAGCGACGGCGGAGGCCCCCGACCCAGCAAGCAGGAGTGGGCTTCAGCGGGGGTCGGGGCGTCGAAGGGGTCGATCCCGCCTCCTGCCACTGGCCTTCGGCTCCTGGGGGAGGGTTTCTCCCCCTGGGGTGCTGTCCAGCAGTTGCGCCTCGTCAGGAGCTTTCCTTGGGGTATCGGCACCCCTGCTTCTTGGAAGGCGCGGGCCTTGTCTGTAGATGTCAGGCCCGCGCCTTCTAAGAAGCAGCCTCCTTCTAAGGAGCCTTACCCCCTTCCCTTGCCACCTCCTCCTCCTCCTCCTCCTCGTCCTCCCCTTGCCCCCTCCTCCTCCTCCTCCTCCTCCTGCTCCTCCTCCTCCTCCTCCTCGTCCTCCTCCTCCTCCTCCTCCTCCTCCTCCTCCTCCTCCTCCTCCTCCTCCTCCTCCTGCGCGCCGCCAAACCAGGGGGGCAGGCGGCGCAACCGCGCGGGCTCGGGCGCCAAGACGGGGGCGAGCCCGCCTCCTGCGAGCACCCTCCGAGGCTCGAGGACCGAGGGCCGGCGACGGCGGAGGCCCCGCCCCGGCAGGCAGGGGGGTGGGGGGGCACCTCGCGGCCTCGGCCTCGGGCGCCCAAGACGGGGGCGAGGACTGTCGGAGGAGAAGGAACGCCACAGACACAAACTTTTGGCGCACCGCGCGGGCTTCCCGGATCCGCGCTGGCGCACCGCGCGGGCCTCCCGGATCCGCGCTGGCCCCCCCCCCCCCCCCCCCCCGCGGCGCCTCGGGCGCCGCCCCTGGCGCGCCTCCGCGCGCCAGGGAGGGGGGCCCAGCGCAGATCCCAGGCATCCGCGCGGAGCGCCAAGAGTTAATGTTTATGGCATTTTTCCTTCCTTAGTTGCCTCGATGCGTGCGTTTTGAAACGCAACACGTCCCGTGTTCAAGCCGTCGGTGTGAATACGTTGCGTGTTGACTCCACGTATTGGACCACGTTTGGGCGAATGTATCGCGTCGGACCTACGTTTTCAGCCTACGTGTTGAGTTCCGCATCGATACGCTACGTATTGCGTGTTGCGTATCAGGGCAGCTACGCTTCCTTATTCTAAAGACGGGGGCGATGATTCGTGGGGTGGATGCCACGGCGGGAGCCACGACATCGGCCCAGAGTTTGTGGCGCCTCCCCTCGTGCCAATGCTGCCCCTGGCGCCCCCCTCGTCGTCCGCGAGCGCGCCTCGGGCCACGCGTTGTGCATCTCTCCCCCAGCCTAATTATTTCAGTCCTGGCGGGTTCCTTCTTGTCGGCCTCTGGGGCCCGTCGCCAGGCCCGGGTCTGTCAAAAACCGATCTGGGACAAACAGCTACCTACCATTTGGGAAGGGGTCGTCTGGGGCCAGGGATCCAAAGATTTTTAGATGCTCGTTTTTGGGATCTTCCTGGGGGCCCACCCCTATCGGATCTGTTCGACCCCAGTTCGACTCGAGTTCGACTCGAGTGCGCTTCAAGTTCGACTCGGGCTCGAATCGGGTTCGGCCCGAGTCGACGGACGTTCGGCGCAGCTTCGACGCAGGAGTGGAGCGAGTGCCTCCAGAGGAAGGTCACCAGAGTGAGCATCCCAAAAGGATCTGATCGTTGGATGTCTGGGTTCTCGGGCGTCTCCCTCGCTTCTCGGTGGCCCCTCTGGCCTCGGGCTGCTTTCGAGCAGAGGCGCCTCGTCGAGGGCCTTCCAGGGGTGAGGGAAGTTCACCAGGAGGGGAAACATCACATAGCGACACAACGGCTCGTCGATTCCCACGAAAACATGGAAAGTGTTGGAACTGCGGGGGGAAACGAAAATTCTTCACGCTTCGCGTACCCCCACCAGATTGACACGCCCTCTGGACTTTCCCTTGCGGGCCGCCGAACAAAAAGTATCCCCACCAGCGGCTTTTGGCCCGCTGGCAATTATCTTACGTGCTGCCCCATACTCGATACGACCCGCTCTCTGGAATCGCCCTTGGAGCCGCAGAAAAAAAGTATCCCCACCAGCCCATTCAGAAGCCCTGCCCACGAGAGCTGACGGGAAAAGGGACGAAGGGACACATCTAGGGAAACAAAGCGAGCAGCCAGGATGAACCGAGAGATCTTTGGGAGCACGGGGACGGTCTTGTAAGGCCTCTTCGGGCCATCCCTGGGGGCCGCGTGGGGGCGAGGGGAAGAGGATGAGGGAGAGGAGGAGGAGGAGGAGGAGGAAGAGGAGGAGGAGGAGGAGGAGGAGGAGGAGGAGGAGGAGGAGGAGGAGGAAGAGAAGGAGGAGGAGGAGGAGGAGGAGGAGGAGGACGCAGGACGCAGCATAGAACGCCGAAGCATCCGGAAACACGACGACGATTATATAAAGTTAGGCAAGTGAGTGTGATAAATCACCAACACTCAAGAGAGACCAGACAAATGAATCATCAAAGGGCGACGCCGGTTGCTGGATGTTTGCCCTCGGCGAGCCAGTCCCTGGCTCGCCGACGGGCCGCATTCGGGGGTTTAAGTGGGCAGCGTGCCCCGAGGGCATCGAGCTTGGGGGACCCAAGGGCCGGGCGCCACAGAGCCCACAAATCAAGTAGGGCCCTGCCCGGTGGACTCGATGCCCGTCGCATTCGAAGAGGTGCCCTGCAGCCCCCGCCTCCATCTCGGCAGCGGCAGCAGCAAGAGCAGACGCCCCCTCCCCCTCGACATGCTGACGCCAGCCCAGCCGCTCGGTGGCGGCAGCCAGCTTGGTCAGCATCGGCCCAGGCTCGCACCTCGCCCCTGGCTTCAGAAGCGACTTGCAACTGGCCGGGGTC